AATTATGAGTTCATTCTCAAAAGAAATACTGCTTGAAAGTACTGCTGTGAATAGACCAATTGTTTTATTCTTCGTAACGTGTTAAAATCTGTAATATATGTAATATATCTATGTATATTCATTCTTAGAGTTGGTCATTTTTACGGGATATAATAACGTTTGCGATCCAATTGTTATTTATAAATAGCGAATTTTTTATAAACATTCTGTATTCTTTGCATAAATGAAAGTTTGTTCGCGATCATTGTTTTAATCGATGGAAAATAGAATGCTTGCATCAAAAGGGTATGCAAATTGCAATTCGATAATTCATATTGAGAGTTAATTGCCGCGTAGAATCGACATTTTCGTTAGCTATTGCTTTTTCTCTATGAATCTAATTTAGCTTTGAATACAGTAAAATATAATTATTGCAATGTATACGTCTTGAAAAATTGTTTATTTCATAAAGGAAACGAAAAATGAAATCTACGGGTAACGAATGAATAAAATTTTCAATCTATTTCGTATTTATCTTAACACCGAGGCGAATTTTCATTCAATTTCACGTAATATTTATGTTTTTAAACTTTTTAATATCAATTTTTGATGAGTGGAAGCTCAAATATTAATTTCATAATATCATTTTTTCTATGATCGATTACCATTAGTCTATCTTGACGGTATATGTATAATTATTTTTTTCTGTGTTCGTTGATACACTTTCGTTTCAGCTTTTAATCCTTTGAACAAGTTCTTGTTACAGAATATAGAATCATCGAAGAATGGAATTGGAAATGGTACACGGATTCCATTTTGATCGCTCTTGGAGAAATATTTCATACATTTTTATTTATCGTCTGATTTATGTTTCAGGGAAACATATCATCGTGGGATTAATCAAGACGCCAAGAAGAAATATTTTTTCATATTTATTTGTTTTATACGAGTTATATATTTTATTGGATATGAGTTTTTGTTTTAGAAAAACATCGTGGGATCGACGAAGACACCAAGAAGAAAATATTTCCACATATTTCTTCGTGTTTCTACAGATTGCGTTCGAATATAAGTACAAATGTATATGTATACGATTATAAGATAAAAAAGCGTTCTCCTGCCGTTTCTGAAATATTACCGAAACGTGTGCGTAAATTTAAGTGGAAATGATTAATATTATGATACATATTAGTATTCGAATATGCAAGGTCCATACGTGCAGTTGCACATTTCTGGTTGGATCTTCAGGATCCTTTCTTCGTTTTGTACGAGTGTCTTGTTAGGCACTGTCATAAATCCAAGTATTTATTTAAGAAGGAACAATTAATAATAAAGTACATATTGATACTTTAGTAACCAGGATTCGTACGTGCAGTTGCACATTCCAATTTCGTTTCTAGAAAACATGTGATGGATTATTTCACACGTATCAACATTTTGTTAGGTTTTTCATCTCTTGATCGGTCAGAGTTCGTGCGTGCAGTTGCACATTTAAATTTCGTTTTTCGAAAACATGTGGTATCATCTCACATGTATTGACATTTTGTTAGGTTCTTCGTCCCTTGATTGGGCAGTTCTTTTAAGAACTCTCCTTTTCTAGCTCATTTCTAACTTTTCGATAGCTTCTCCATCAGATAGGTATTCGATAGGTATTGGAATTCCTCGCCAAAGGAAGGAAGGGTGGTTGGGGCGAGGCTAGGGTGGGTCTCCAGTCGCAGCAACCTCCACGTGGTGAGACCCGGGTCATATTATTTACTATATAATTAATATAATTATTAATTACATAGTAAATAATATGAGCTAATGGCTGCGTTCTTCTTATAGTTCCACATAGCTAGTTTGTATCCTGGTGTGCGGTCTAATAATACGTTTGTTGCCGAGTTAGTTTTTAAATAAATAATATATTACAATTTAAAATAAAAAATAGAAGATTTGCGGTGTATTTATCGATGAGATCCTTACGTATTTTAATAATTTTGAAATCTTTAAATAATAATATCGATCGATTGGTTATTCCAATGAAATTAATCGATCGATGCTCAATTCTGGACTATACAGCTTTCATCCCGTTAAAAAATAATAAAATTTATGTAATTTTATTTTCTGTCTCGCTTCCTGTTGTGTTAATTTCTGAATCTGTTGATAACGTTGCGAGTGAGAGGAAAATGGTAATGGGGTTCCGGGAGCCCAGAAACTCGGGCCGAAAAATTACATTAGGTGAAAAAGGTCTACATATTCGTATATGTACCTCGTCTGTGTTTATACTTTCCACTGTTTTGCTCGAGCAACGTTCGCTACGTGAATCATAATAATGCGTCTTTTAATATTAATTACACGCCTGTCCTAGCATGAAACGATTCGTTAAAAATTCTCTTTATGAAATATGTACGTTTACGGCGATTAACTGGTTGCATGCAATGGTAAATTCGATCCAAGCACTTTGGATCTATCGGTGGAAACATTTTTATAGATTGCCAGTGATAAACGTGTCGCAGTAGTAACGCCCTTCGGTATAGTCAGACACACGTGGCATTTTTTCTTTCTGCAAGAATAATTCGGACATTGTGGATAATCGGCACAAGACATTTACACTTTTTTATTTCCTACTTTTGATCGAAACATATGTTTAATGTTCTCGAGAGATTTCGAGCGTCTCTGATTTCTTCGGATTGTTCGCAAAGAGCGTCGCGTATCTGAATCGCGGAGATACCGAGATGCGACGGGGCAACGAACGCACATTCATTTCCCAGTCGGGAAATTAATTTTGCTATATCGGAAAGAAGCGTGCGTGTGTGCGTGTGTGCGTGTGTGCGTGTGTGCGTGTGTGTAGGTGTGCGAGCGTGCGTGCAGCTGGCGCTGTCGGTGGGAGCGCGAGAATGTACCAATTCACCGTTAACTGTGGCCTTAGGGCTTCCGTGTTTCAATCTCAGGTGTGTAGCACCGGCGGATGCGCATCTCGCGCGAAGATTAAGGCACGTATAGCGAAAGCAGACCCCAAGAGTGCAGTTCTTCACCGGGAAACGTGGTCCGTCGGGAAATACGAAACGAACCAACGATTTCGCATAACCGTTGTTTTTTTCTTTTATTCGAGTCACTCGGATCACCTTGTTTCGGTTCGCCTGGTCAGATTCATCGATATGCGGTTCTCTTTCCGATACGACAAGCTGGTATTTTTATTTTAACAAGTTCATCGAGAAAGCGTAACTTGAATTCCTTCAGTTTGTTATCGTTCGTGCGGAGTCTCGTTCTGTTCCAGCAACACGTCATACATAATTACGAATTCATGTTGCCTCGCATAGATCCAACGACTCTTGGGAAACGGAGAATGATGTTGGATATCTTGTATGTGCACAAGGTGGTGCGCGGTTGCCTAAACGAGCCTAAATATTCTCAAGCTATTTGAATTTCATGTTTCTCAAGTTCAAGACAACGTGCATTGCTGTACCTGAAATCGCAACGCAGATTGCACGATAAGTTTAATTGTATTAAACGAACGAGCGTATCTATTAATAGTTACAACAGCTCGAATAACACGATACTCCGATAATAGGGTATTAAAATGGAGCAGTACTCGTAGAAACGCGGTTTGTATGACACGGTACTTGAGTAACGCGCGCGGTACGCGTGTAACACGGTATTTGTATAATCGCGTTATTTTCACGTTGCAGAAATTGTGTATCGCGTTCTACCATTAATATCTGGCATACGTAATGAAATATTATTGCCACGCCTTGAACGACGTATAAACGATTTGTAGGGTGGCCAGTGTGCTCATAGACAATCGTGTATTTCGCAAACTGTCGCCACTAAAGCAATTTGTTTCTGTTCGACTGTCCGATCAACAATGTGGGTAACGTTGATTAGGGAGTCGGACGTTAGTCAAGATGCGTGACATACACGATAAATAACGGAGCTGGACAATACATACTCGGCTTTACGACTCGAAGAAACTAACACATTTTACAGATTTCATATCGTATATGCCAGCGATTGCATTTAACAATAAAATCGGATTCATTTTTCACGAGTGAAAAGCAATCGTTACAGCATGGTATTTTCTCTTTCATCATCGAAGAAGAATAGTTTGAAGACGTCGTCGTTGATTTTGCAAATATTCTTCTTCGGTACGGTTTTTTAAGAAAGGACAATTAAAGCTTGGACGTATATTGATCACGATCGTTTGATCAAACGAGTCGTTCTCGTCCAATAGTATTAAAAACTAAACGTCGACGACTTTGAAATAAACATTTAAAATGGGTAAAAGTAGATTTTGTAAATTGTTGATCGAGGGTTAGTTGATGCGAGAAAGGAATGGAAATGATTGGAATAAAGGATATCGCGGAGAATGAAAACTAGAGAATCGATGCTTTCTGTGCGATACACGGTTGTCGAGAAAACACGAGAGAGCGAGGGAATAAGACGAGGCGGGCAAAGAATAAGAGAGAGTGAGGCGACAGAGAAAACTAAGGGGAAAGAAGAGCAGAAGCGAGAGAGCGATCGAAAGTAGTCGAAGAAGCCGGTAATGCGCAGACTCGATGAGAAAGAAAAATTGTACTTATAACAGCGGCGCAACTTTCTCGCAGGAAACGATGCGTCGAAGGGGATCATCTTGTTCGGGGAACATTTCGAGATAAAGAAAACTTTACGGTATACATATAATTACTTACGTTTCCCGGTATAGAAAGTTCCGTTAAAGTATCTCTCGAACTTGGACGTAGACAGCACGTACATATCTACTCGCGATTTCGTAGTTAAGTTTCTATGTATTCTACGGAGTTTTCCAACTCCGTGGTCTTGGAGGGAAAAGTGAACGGTGGTGCTTCGTATACTTGAACGAAACTTTGTCGCGTAAAAGTCGTAATAGAAATTCGAGATACGATCTGTCTCGTGTCCGATCGATCAAAAGAGAAAATCGTAAATCGTTCGAAAGTAAATTAACAACGAGATTAATTTAATCCATATTCATCATTACGGCTACTTTTACGAAACAATGAAGGAACATTTTCAAATTCCATACTCACTTTGCAACCCTCGCAGCTGGTCACGCCGTAATGATAACCGCTCGCTTTGTCACCGCAAACTCTACAGGCCACGAAACTCTTCGCGGGCGTCGAACTGTTCGAATCGGCGGCCGCGTAGTGTTGTTCTGGAAAACAAAACAGGCAGCTACGTTACGTAACGTGATCGACATCCGTACAACTAGGTAAACGTTGAGCTAAAACACTCCCAGCCTCTTCGCTGAACCAAGAAACCCACATGGAAACGCTTAACATAGCGATCCCAAACGCAACACACACCTTCATCGTTCTTTCTATTTAAATATCTTACAAGACGATCCTTGGACGATGCGTACACGTATTGTTGGTAAAAAAAATAAATAATGTAGAACGCGTGCTCGACAATCGTCAGCCATAGCTATTTTAAACAGATAAAATTCGATCGGACGCGATCGAATAGCAGCAGATGAGATATACTACTAGTACATATGTAGATATTCCTTGTTCGGTAAGAACGAAAAACACATCGTATGGGAGTTAACGGCACCGTGGTTCGATGGAAACGGTTACGCGTAGACGGAACGGCAAGAAAGAAGAAGACGAGGAAAAAGAGTGGATCCAAATAGAGCGGATGGCGCAGAGAGACAACAGAAGCGGCTCGAAGGAACGAGAAGATCGCGGAAAGGCACGAAGGAAGGTGGTGTGCGGTTCTCTCGGTGGCGAGGGACACGTTCGGTCACGGCGGCTTCTTTCATTCGTCCACGGGTAACCCGTTGCATCCATAATGCAACGACGGACGAGAACACGGAGCAGCCGAGGAAGGTAAAAGGCTGGAACAACCTCGGTACACGGTGGTTCGTGTAACGGAAAGGCTCGCGTCACCGTTACAGAACCAGGGAAGAAGCGGGAGGAAGGATCGGCTGCGAAGCAAGAGCAGCATCAGCATCAGCATCAGCATCAGCGGCAGGAACGAGGGACGGAAAGAAAAAGGAAGAGGAAAAAGGCGAAACGGGGCCGCCCGCAAAGGGAGAGCAGAGGGAACCGTATAGGAGTAGTCTGCAACATTATACATATACGTATACCGTTCGAGTCTCGTGAAACCCCTGCCAGAAGACGTCGTTACGTGTGCCGCTGGTTAGACGAAGAACGAGACGAGACGAGACGAGACGAGACGAGACCAAGGTGTACCAGCGACCATGGGAAGGATACGCGACTAGCCGAGTGGAAAAGAGAACACCACGAGAAAAACAGAGAGAGAGAGAGAGAGAGAGTCCAGTGTGGTTGATTCGAGCGTCAGGAAACGAGGCCCCATCTTGCGACTACGAGATTTTACCGGGGCCCATCGTCTATCCGGAATATTCGAACCCACTTGACCAAAACAATGTGGAAGTTGTTCTCCATTTCGAAATATTTCCGATCGGCATGAAAAAATCGTGTAAAGGGAGTTACACGGTACCACCAACGACCGTGAGAAGGATCAACGGAGACGAAGGAGGGGAGCGTCTGTAAACGGAACACGCTCCTACGAATACAACACCGACCACCGATTTGATTTTATGACACCCGGTAACGTGGCCGAGATCGAACGGTACTTGGCGTTAAGCAGCACATCAGCGACAACGACGAGGGACGTTTACGTACCCCGTTACGCCGGCATTTCTTCGCGGGTCTATCCTCCTCCGTTTCCATTTCCGGTCAGAGCAGCGCCGGAAATGCATTCGCACGATAAGAATACGCTGCTGGTTTTTCTCAGCACGACGCGACGGGGCGCGACGGGGCGCGACGGGGCGCGACGGGGCGCGACGGGGCGCGACGCTTCCACGATCGCTCGAGATTTCCGTGTCGATTCTATACCTCGGCAAGAAACTCGACGGTAAACCGTGTACACGAATTCCTTGGCTTTGGGCTCCGTTTTTGCTCCCTTTCCTCCGGGCCGCGAATTCACGTCGAAGCTTGGAGCGATTTTTCCGCATCTACGTTTCAGTTGGCTTCTCGATGCACCGGGTTATGGGAATGATATCGATGTTCGGCAACCGGTAACGTTAAATATGCATATATACTTAATTATCAAACGTTCGTTAATCACGCTTTGAAACTATACGATAGGGGATAATTAGCAATTCCAAACGCGACGATGTATCGATCGCGTGAAAATCGGTCTCGATCTCCGGCGCTGGTTACCAGATAAAAATCTGTAGGGACCGTCATTAGCCGTTTGCTTTCTTTGCGCGCGAAATGTATTCAGCGAAACTGGCTGGATAATTAGGGCTGTTCTGTTAAACGATTCAACAATGGGTGAGGGGCGCGTTCGCACGCCGATATATTGTAATTTATTGGGCTCCCGAACGGTCTGTAATTTCAAGAGACGAAGGCGGAAGCGCGCCGCGTAATGATGTACACGGTGACCGTTCGACGGTGAGCCCAAGTTTTTCGGTGCTTCTTCATGGGAATTCGTTAAGGCCGTACCGTATTAACGACGCCTTAAACGCTCGTGCACGAATAAATTTTCTCGCGTTCCGAACTTTTTTATTCGCGCGCTCGTTTCCGCCTTTAACAACGAGCGCTTCGACGGGGAACGTGTACCATCTAAATACGCGATAATAACTTCTATCTAGGCGAAATTTAGAATCGAAACGTAACGTCCTTCGATCCTTTTCATTTTTACATTCGCGTAAGAAATCCAAGTTGTAAAGGGAAACGTTTGATCACCACTCGGATTGGTGCTAGCGATTATGACTTTGCGTAGGCAGTGCAAAAAGAATCAATAATCTCGCATGAGTTGCAGTTTTGATTGCATTAGTGGGTGCGCCAATTCTATTCAACAGCTAATCTTGCTGACGCATCTTGAATTTTTGCATGCTTTTCTATTCCTTGTAATCGCGTAGGAACGATTACCCGTAAAGCAGCTGAAATCCAAGATTTAAATACAGGGTAGAGAAAATAATTGTAATCATAGTAGATCAGAAGAAACGTATAATTCGAAGAAGATTCGTACATTCTACGACCGAACAATATTTATGTTTCTCGTATCGATCGATAATAAATGGTTCTCTGCGCGGGTCTTTACACCAAACGTTTGGTAATTTCAAGCAATCGCGCCGAAAAAAGCAACCGCGTGATAACTACATATGTACATACTTCCGCGTCACGCCAACCGGCTACAGATTCTGTATCGTGTATTCCCTTGCAATAAATCGTGCTGCACAAAGTATAAACATATATCTCGGAATAACAGAATAGTTTCGTTTTTACTTTTACGTTTAATTAAGATTCTACAATACGCTTACAACATTTATCCGTACCAATTTACTCTACCATCGCCCGAGAAAGAGTTATGGCTCGACCCAGTTTCTACAATTACTCTCCGTAGTAAAAAGAAGTTGGAACGAGGAACTTATCGCGTCAGATTTCTACCATCCTTTATGGAAAGTATTTCAATTTCATAAATTTAGCTTTCTTCGCGCCATACAATTTCTAATCTATCTCGTACGAAAACTATCCCATAAATCCTAACGCGTTTCGTGCAGTTTTCTCACCGTTATACATATATGTACTCTTATCTGCGTTTTTCTATCCCCCGTATTTTCCATTCAGCATCGAAATGCAAAGCGTCGAGCGGTTCTGTACGTTGGTTTGGCGTCGCGACGCGTCGTACTTTCACGCGCGATGATTGCCCGTCGGGGTTGCGCCGCGCCGTGCCGCGCCGTGCCGCGCCGTGCCGCGCCGTGCCGCGCCGCGCCGCGCCACGCCGTGACCGTAAATCTTTTACAGTCCGTCGTATATTCTATTCGTAATCATACAGTGCTTAACATTTCACTTTACTCTGCGTCGGTGTTATTCCGCGGAACAGAGCCACAGTTTCTATTTCTGCTTATAAATTCCGCTCGAGCGAAGCGAACTTTCTCCTCGCGGGAGCACTTTGAATTGATGGACACGGTGTACGTGAGCACGAAACGGTCGGGTATATTTCATTCTGCTTCCAGTGAGAAACCTCGCGGGTTAAGATAAAGAGACTCCAACTGAATCCACTTGGTGAGAAAAGCCCCCTCAAAAATAAATACAACACCTTTAGATGAAACGTAATCGAGAAATTTTCACGCCGTTCGTAACGTTTTCAAGAATTACCTATTAATTGTAACTGTTCTGAACGTGAACAATTGGGAAACAGAGAATGGAAAGCTCCGTTACTACGCCCGACTTGTCCCTGTGGCAAAAAAGCTTTGAGCGTACAAACGAGGAAGAAGAAGAAGAAGATCGTCGTAGTCTCTTTACGGTTCACCTGTCCAAGGCGATCTTCGTGCAATTCTCACGAGATAAATGTGCCGTTTGTCGAGCAATAAATAATCCGAGACGCGACGTTAATTGTTCGTCAACCATCGGTCGGTCGATCGCTCGTTTTACGCGGCTGCTATTAACGCGCTGAAATTCGCCTGCCATAACTGTAGATTATCCGAAGAACGGAAACAGGAGGATGCAGGAAGACAAATTTATCTGCCACCTGTAGGTGTTTCGAACCGATCGAGCGGCCAGCAGATGCGAACGTTTCAGCCTTCATTAATTTTTATCGACGCGTCCTTAATTACAGCCTGACTCCTTCTCCGTAAATTCGTTCCGTAGCTTCTAAGAAATGTCAAACGTATTTTACTTGCCGATATTTTCTGTTAAACATTATTAACACGTATACGTTTCGTGATACGTAATTTATTAATACTTATCATCCGACGACGAGAGATTTCTTTTTTAACATTTCCGATGGAAGTCCGTTTAAGGGTAGTTATTATGGTCAGGTCTAGGTAAAACACGATGCCCTTCCATTGCCCGAGTAGAAATTTTGTTACCGAAATCTCGTTTTCAAGTTCTTGGTAGGCAATTAGTCGGTTGGATGACTCGGTCGCGTTGCGTTTGCGTATTACGGAAAACGGATCACCCGGGGCAGCTCGATAATGCAAAAGACGAGCGGAAGAAGGAGAAGGAGGAAGGAAACTATGGACACGTAGACGCGAACACGAGTACATACGTATACCGAGGAAACTAGTGTACGAAGAACTAGTGTTGGTCGAAAAGGAGTGGTGGTACTACCTACCATTAGGACCTACTTGGTAGATAGAAACCGGAGATCATGAACGGAACAAGAGGGAAACCGAACGAG